GCTGTACTAGAAGGCTATAGTGATGCTGACTGGAACACCTTATCAGATGACTCTAAGGCTACTAGTGGATATATTTTTTCTATAGCCGGTGGAGCTGTATCTTGGAAGTCTAAGAAACAGACTATTTTGGCTCAGTCCACCATGGAGTCAGAAATGATAGCACTAGCTATGGCTAGTGAAGAAGCAGGTTGGTTAAGAGGCCTGCTAGGTGAAATTCCCCTATGGGAAAAGCCATTACCGGCTGTCTTGATCCATTGCGATAGTACCGCGGCTATTGCAAAAGTTCAGAACCGTTATTACAACGGTAAGAGACGACAAATACGTCGTAAGCACAGCACTGTGAGAGAATATCTCTCTATCGGAGCTGTTAGAGTGGATCACGTACGCACTGAGAATAACTTGGCTGATCCTTTGACGAAAGGATTAGCTAGGGAGAAAGTCCATTTTTCCTCTAAGAAAATGGGACTATTGCCATTGAAATGAACCACACATAATGGTAACCCAACCTATGAACTGGAGATCCCAAGAAATAGGTTCAAAGGGTAATAACAAGTTATGGTGTGATATGAGTTGAATATGTTCAAAAGACATAATTTCCTGAAGCGATCAAGGATGAGTTAATAGGATCTCTTAATGAAATCTATACTCCAATTTGGAGTGGAGTACCAAGCTACAGGAGTACTCTTGATAGATTCACCTATGTGAATGTGGAAGTTAGGCCGCTTCCTATGAAATGTGTGGCAGCATTTCTAGAGCATTCACTACACTGGGATAGACGTGCATGGCCGAAATAGCACGGGTCTAGAACAACACCAAGAGTAGGTTGTGTGTGGTACTTTGTCAGAGATAGGGTTCAAAACTTCGAGTCACCCTTGTTGAATCTGAATCGTACTCACTACGTAGAAGTTCAAGTTGAAAAACACTTCTGTTTATGCGCAACCTATATATGTATGGATTCTGCTCGAAAATGTTTTCAAAAAATTCAAGTGGGGGATTGTTGGAACAACAAGTGTGTAGTGTGTGAATTTTGTGAAAAAAACTCAAAGTCCCACATTGGTGGGAAATGAGAGTTTTACTCTCTTTATAATATAGAGAGTGGGCTAAAGGGGTGTGGCCCTTGGGCTACCCACATTTTGTGGAGAGGGAGGACCTATATGGTAAACCATATATCACACACACGCGCGCCGAACCGAACCGAGTCGGGCCGGGCCGGGTCGGGTCGGGTCGGGTTCGGGTTTGGGTTTGGGTTATTAAACAAACTTAATTTTTGTTACCGGTTTGATTAATATTCAGTTACAAAACGTTTTACTGTTTTGGTTTAAATTTTTCCGTTACATTGCTTGATTCTCGTTGCTGTTTTACTGCTAAACGTTGCACCGTTACACTGATTTAATGCCTTGATTCTTGCTTAACGGATACACTAATTGCAGTAAACGTTGCTAATCTTTCTCCCGTTTTCATGCTTAAGCTGTTACGTATCTTTACCTATAAAAGGACGGTTCCAGCTTTGTTTTTAAACACACGAAAAAATACAGAAAACCACTTTGCAAAATATATTTTCTCTCCCTCTCAAAACAGTCGAGCAGTTTCTTTCTGATTTTCTGGTGTTCCGTTGTCCGGTGGTTCGGTGCAAAACCGCCGGTATTTTATACTTGTGAAAGACTGTTTTATCCTGGGGGCATCCGGTTTGGTACGAGCTGCTTGCACAAGTTTGAGGCAGTGCCGCGAATGTTCTAAAGAGAGCAACATAGTCCGCGACTCAGTCTTATTCTCGGTAACATTGTTCTTACTATTTTATTTGTGCAATTCCGTTTATAACAGTATTACCCTCGAGGTTGCGACGCAGATTAACGATGCAATGCAGGGCTTGCAATATGAAGTCGCAGCAGCGTAAAGCGGCAACAAAATTCTGTCCCATACTAATTGCTTGCTGAATCAAGAAGAGTGATTTTTGGGATTTTATAATTTTTTGGTTTGAATCTACACCAGGCCACTACTATATGAGGTGAAAATAATGTTTTGATTTTTTAAATGCTAAGTCAACTTTGGCTGATAACAAATCTTGTTTTTTAATTTTTGAAACAGAAACAAATCTTGTTAGTATTACGATTATATTAGTTACAAGAGTGAATGAATATAATATTATTTTAGTGGTTTATAATTTATTGAAAGCAATTATAAAGAGTGATGATATAATTACGTGTGAGCATAAATAATGTAAGGTGTTTAAAGGCAAATATGATACTCCATAAGGTTGGGGCTACCAGAAAATAAGTTAGATGATTAGGAATACTACGTTCTCTAATCATAATGCTGTTCACGTCTCACTAAAAGGGCAAGAACAATAGCAATAAGAGGTTTGTGTAGAGGCTTGTTTCCTCATTTTGGGTACTATTCCTAAAGGGGTGGACTTGGCCTTGTGCCTGGTGGGTCAAATGACTCACCAGGGCCCAAAAAAGAGGTTATTAAAAATTGTTTGTATAGCCCAAAAAAGAGGTTAACAATCATTCTTTTTTCATGTTTTCTGTACTGCTATCTTTCTAATGAGCTTCTTATGGTCCACTAGGGGTCCATTGGGCCCAATTTTGTTGGAATTTGGAACTCCTTTTGCTCGTACAACCCAATCCTCTTTTTAGTTTGTTTGCCACCTTGAGAATTTTGAAAAGGTAATAATGAAGTGTAAGAAATTACATTATGAAATAAAGTGATGGAAATGATAGGTTTCTTTCAAAAAGGAACTACTAACATGTCGTATCGAGCTCGTTTGATCATTTGTTTAATCATCACTCGTTTTCATGCTACTCTGATCTCACAAAATAAAATATAGCAACTCTACCTCATTTGTCAAATTATTGTTAAATCAACTCTCGTTTTCATATACAACCAATTTTTAATAACCTAAAAACAATAGCTTGTTTGGGCTATACAACCAATTTTTAATAACCCAAAAGCTTGTCATGTTGTCAATTATTAGCTTGTTAATTATTAGTTTGTTGATTTTAGTCTTGCCAATTTTAAGCTTGTTAATTATTAGTTAGTATTGTAATCTTGTCAATTTTCTATTTGGATGATCTTTGTAAATAATTTTTCTTCGGAATTTTGGTAAAAAAAATTTTTTACATATTTGGTTATCGATTGTGACTCACCAGTCGGAAATTCCTGGCTCCGCCACTGTTCCTAAAGAACTAGATACGGAGTACAAAGTATGAGGTCGTGATTTTGTATTTGGTTTGTGGAATAGATTTTCTCAATATAAGTTGAAGGAAGTAGATGTAGGGCTCAGTAAAATTATCTGAAAAACCAAAAACCCGAAAATCCGAAAATTCGAACCGAAAATTAGGGTACCCGTTTCGATAACCATAACGGTTCGAATACCAGATCCGATAATTTGTTATCGGGTACGGTTATTGGGTATCATTTTAAAATTAACGGTTACCCGATCCGTTCTGATAAGCAATTTTTTTTTTCCATACTTAAATCTATTTATCCAAAATCTAAACTCTTACTTTACTTCGTAATCACTTCATAATTTAAATGATTAATAATTATTAGTAATTTGGTCATGATCATATTGGGTACTCGATAACCGAACCGAAAATCCGGGTACCCGAACTTATCGGTTCGGGTAATGAATATCATTTTTAGTGTTATTAGTTATCGGGTACCCGAACCGATAATGTTAATAGTACGGGTACCCGTCCCATGCACACCCTTATTGTACACAACATAATACTTCATATAATATATAGAGTAATGTAATAGTGATTTCTAAACACCAACCTTTGAAAAGTAAATGATTATTATAAGCAAAATTTGTATAACAATGATGTGGATAATTACACCCTCATTAATTAACATATGTTCTTTAATCATTGTCCTTAGGATATACTTCGTTTTGGTTTTAGACTTTTAGGAAAATGATTGAATGATTGGCTGCCTATAGAAATATAGAATAGTCAAAACTTGGTATGCGGTTGATACTTCAGCCAATCAAAATGAGCCTTATTTAGCCAGTCTCAAGAGCATACGTGTCCAGCTTCAACCTTTATTTTTAAGTTAGGCCACAGCTTGGATCCAACTAAGGAACATCACTATGCTAAATTGCTAATCCAGCTATCTTGCTAATCTAAACAGTACATACTACTAGTACTAGATTGTTGATAATTACCAAACCTGATGGCTGGTGCCATTGTTCCATTTTGCCATAAGATGATCCAACAATTTATTCATAAGACCGTCCAAGACTAGATGGTTACAAATTCGAGACCCATCATCTATATATGGATGGGGGGAGGTGATTCTATTACCTTTCCATTTACTCTCAAGTGTTGACCTCATGTAGCTAAGTTGGTTGACTTATGTGAAGTACCAGTTTAGTAGGATTTTTCTCCTCATAAAAAGAAAAATAAAAGCTAGGACCAGAGGGTGAACAGACTAGACACTCAATCGGAACTTCAAGCAGACAAGCACAATGCTCCCGAGCATCTGTATAAGCCTCCACTGCATAATTTTTCCAATAATACATGGTCATGAAAGGTAGAATCGAGTAGGTCATTCAAAGATTACTCAATCGCCAGCTGGGGGCAATCACAATCGTTTTGTTATCATCACATCGCCCAGAATAGGAAGCGGATCACTTTTAAACATTTTTAATTACCATGGAAAACCATACAATACTGCAAATATATTATTTTTTCAGACATGTAAAATCGGCCATAGAATATGAGCATTTCAGAAAATCAACAACGAAGAACGTGGGCGGCTAATAGAATAAGCCAACATAATCCAACATTCCAAGAACAGCCAAATATTCTACATTAACAATCTATCTAATCATGTCATACACAAATTATCATGATCACCATTAATTATTATACCTGTATTCTGTGGCTCAACCAACACAATGTTAGTTGGAGTCAACCTCTGCCAACAAGATTCCCAAAAGGTGAGTGGTTCAGCCAACAACTATGAACTGTTTGGAAACCAACTCCAGCATCAACTAATCAAAAGGGGAGCAAAGAAAAACATCGTATTGAAAAATAGCGCGATATTTAAACTTTAAACTACAGAAATCAAAGAGACATAAAAAATGTAGCCAGAGGCAATCATCTTCATAACAAGTAGTTGTGAAGAAATGAATTAAACTGCTCTGCTAGGGTTAAGGGGGAAAAATATCGGTCCTTTCCTAAACTGGGATCTTCCAGTACCTTATATTTAATACATAAAGACTGAACCAAAACCACGAATTAGATGGTAATGTAATGCCAGAAAGCAACAAGAAACAACCTGATGCTCCACAAAAGAACCCAAGTACAATCAGTAAGAAATCATACGCTAAAAAAGCCTGCCTGCATCCTCAAGCTTGATTGTGAAAGACAAAAGGTCGAACGCGAGATGGAATGCTCGAACTAGGGCTTGTTTCTCTTTACAACTGACACAATTACAATATGGAGCAAGCCTTCTGTGCCTTTGACTTCTTCTTCTTTGTCTTTGGTGGTTGAAGCACAACCTTAATGGCTGCATCGAAAACTGCCTTGACATTCTGCATATTTAATTCAAAGTTCACAAGTTAGCGACTCAAAAGGCACAACCAAGTTGGAAAGTGAAACTATCTCAACCTGACAACAAATACTCACCTGCTGTGTTTTTGAACTACATTCGATGTAAGCAGGAGCACCAATCAGCTTCCTCAATTCTTCACCCTGAACAATAACAGAAATATTTTGGTCCTTGTGATTTCTAAACATTATAGACCATAGGGAAACATATGCAGAGTACAATTCTTTTTTACCTGAGCTGTAGTGATTGGAACTGCACCAGGGTGATCTATGAAAAATTGCTTGTCATCCCGAAGATCTAATGTCATGCATCAAAAGTAGGAATAACTTCTACGTCAGAAAATTAAATCAAAAGACCCTTTTCCAGAAACAGCAAATTAAGCTTGCAAAAAGTGAACACAGGTTCCAAAAACCAGAAAAATTCTCAACCAACTAGATATAAAAATGCCACATATTTACCGAAATCAAAACTCAAAGAGTATAATCCATGATAACATAAAATAATATCTAAATTTCCAAGGGTGATCAGAACTTCTGGATGTGTTACTCCAAAAAAGAAATGACAGAATAAGACAGAAACGCAAAATGATGAAATAAAAGAGATAAGTATGATTCTGACCAAGCTTTGTTCCAACAAGAACAATGGGGACACCAGGAGCATAATGCTTCAACTCGGGAATCCACTGAAAATTAAGTGGCCACAAAAGCTCATTAGCAAACACCAAGGGTCTAATTCACATAAATGCTTCCTTATCAGTATTCAAACAATGTTTACCTTCTTAGAAACATTTTCATAACTAGCCTTGCTAATGAGGGAGAAAGCAAGAATAAAAACATCTGCTCCACGATAACTCAAAGGTCTTAATCTGTTGTAATCCTCTTGTCCTGTAACACAAATAACAATTTGAGTCGTACATAGAGAATAATCAAGTACACAACCAAAGAGATTAATCAGCAGATATAACGCCATTACCTGCAGTATCCCATAACCCCAGATTAACTGTGGCCCCATTAACGACGACATTTGCACTGAAGTTGTCAAAGACAGTGGGCACATAATCCTGTTCCAATCAAAGATTTAAATTTAAAGAGAATAAAGGAATGGCAAAACAGGACCAACAATTTGGGAAGTAGAGTTCAGCACAATTTCACAAACTATTTGCATTATATTTCATATTCGATTTATGTTGATGATATTCAGATTATTTACAAATTTAAGAATATCAGACATGGATACGTCAGGTTTTCTATGTTATTTTGCAATCCCTTTAGAGTCATATCTGATGATGGTTTTAAACACGTAAATGAAACATGGATACCAAGGGAAATCAGAGTAGCAGAATACTCTGATTTCAATACATCAAAGAAATACCTTAGAAACAGAATGTCTTATCAAAAGAGGTATACCAGAAACCCAAGGAATTTGACAGAACAAATCATATGAATATTCTGAGCAAGATATTGCCAAAAACAAATAATCTCATCAAATCCAGCTAAACAGAAACTTCCCGGCCACAAACTAAATAACTTACAATAGAAGAAGCAAAGGTGCAAACTACAATCACAATTACGAGAAACTAATACATCTCCTACTTTGCAAGGGTAACCAGAAATATATCCCTGACAGGAAGATCCATGATTGTGTAATCATTCTATCACAAAACTCGAATCCGATCTTCAAATGAGCTGTCTATATAAATACAGCTCGCATAAAAGAAAGAAACAAACGGCAATCCTAAACCAAACGCTCAATTCGCCTCCTCCACAGAAATTCCTTACACTAAAAAAAATAATAAATAAATCAACCATGCTATTCATGACTAAACTCGTATATCATCAAAATTATAAACAGTGTTAACAATCCTCAAGCTAGAAAATGACTGAATTCCCCTAAAACTGCCTTTAAATGTTTGCATCAACCTAAAATGTACTCAATTGCACCAATTTTATTTATTCTTTAATAAAACTAGAAATTCAATCATTACCAAAGTAATTGTTTTTTTCCTTTAATTTGCAGAATTGCTGGAATTCAACAATAAAATTCAAAAACAATCCACATGAAATCTATAATTCACACAATTCAAAACAATTCCCAAAGCACAATTTAACCTTACATAACAGAAAAAAAATGGTTTTAAAAGTGTATATCGAGACGAATTTAACAAAACAATCAAATAATTTCCATGAAATCGAAGCTAAATTACGAAACGAGAGAGAGAAACAGACCGTAGGGAAAGTGTTGCTGGTGTAAGAAATCAACAAGCAAGTTTTACCAACGGCACCATCACCAACTGTAACACATTTTATGAACCTCGAAGCACTCATTTTTTTTTCAACAATCACGATTTCTTCTCCTCCTCAAAATTCAACCCCCTCAATTTCCACCTTGATAAATCAAAAAAAAAAAAAAAAAAAAACAAAGCTAATTTTCCCCCAAATTCAAATTCAAATTAAAAAAAAAAAATCAAAATCGCTTCTCAATTACAACACCACATGAAGGAACCTGTAAAAGAAGAAATTGAAACCCGATCACAACATCAAACATTGCGCAACAAAAACAAAAACTAAACCCTAGAAAATAGGAGCCCTAATTTGAGGAAATGAAAATGTGGATGAAAATGGAGAAAATTGAGAGGAAGAAATGACGAAAAATGTAACCCTAATGTGAATAGATCTGGTAATAAAGATTAATCAGAGAAAAAATTGGGGGAAGAAGATTGAAGAAGAGAGAGAGAGAGAGAGAAGGTGAAAGAGAAGAAAGGAGAGGAGTTACCTGAGAACCGGGAAACAATGCCGTTGAAGCGTTCAATGAATGAATAATGTGTGTTTTTTTTTAATTTTTTGTGGGTGATTGTTTCTTCTTCTAACGTGTTTTACGCTTTACTACCCACGCCTTTCCCCTCTTTCCTCTCGTTTTTATCCCCCTTGCATAACTACCGTAAAGATAGGCGAGGCGTAGAGGTGACAATTGTGTTATTAGGATAGATAGATCGGATTTTATGTAAATTGAGACATTATTTAAATTATGTGACTTTTACTTGTTGGTCAAGTGAAGTTTGATCAAGTCGAGTACTCGTAATTTTAAAATCTATTAAGAGAGCTCATGAGTTAATTTTGATGATATTTATTAATAATTTGAGTCATCAAGTTTCGAATATTAGTCCGGTGTTCTAATTGTCGATTTTGTAGCTAGGGGTTAATTAATAACTAATCCTAGGAAAATCACATATTCAATCCATAAAATGAGAAATTGTATGGTTATAATGTCCCAATACCCCCACGTGTAGATGCATTGACTTTTGTAATTTGATTGTTACTAAATGCATTGACTTCTATAATGACATTTTTAAGTAGTCAAGCATAATTTTGGCAGATAGGACATTAATCACTGTGTAAATTATCTTTGTAGAAGTTACTTTTTTTTTTTTTTCTGAAGAAGAAGAATTGCAGAAGCTACTTAAGGAGTTAAGTTTGTAACAATTCTTAAGGAGTTAAGAACTGTAGAAGCTACTTAAGGACTTATTTACTTCGCAAATGAATTTGAACCGACCATAACTCAACTCATCAAAGTTTTTAAAACAATAAATTTTCGTCATCCCATTCAATCATTGCCATCCTTAATACAACAGCTCAATACACGGAAATCACGAGTTTGAAAACTGGAAATTAGACATCAAGACTCTGAAAGTAGTTTGAAGCCATAAGTGAAGATTAAAGAAGGGTATAAGTTGGGGGGGGACCATAAATAGGTAGTTGCTCATCCGTGAAATCGGGTTGATTTCACTCTCAAATGCTCCCAATTCATACGGATTTTTATAATAATATTCAAAGTTTCTTGTCAATTTATTAAAATGGACTGTATAGTATATACTGGTAATAAGAACGGGCACGTCGTCATCAATGATCAAGTTGTATGCATGCATAAGTGTTTGAGAATAAATATACAGCTACCACTTGATGTGCCCATTTTTGGTGTAATTGCGAAAATGAATGATCCTTGTTTGAGCTGTCCTGTGTAGGTAAGGCATCGAACAATGGCTAGTATACATTGTAAACAACTAAACATCGAGTAGTATGGGTACATGGTGAACTTCATTGAAACTCGGGGTTATTCGATGAAGATGCTTCCCCTAAGGAAAAAGGCTAATTCAAGAACTTCTACTTGATAATTATTAGTGCTATTATGTTAATTACATCATGTATCTATTATCACTCTATCAGGTATTGATCTCACAACAGAAACTATTTCCGTTTCTACAGAGATAAAAACAACAAATGATTCATATAGTTCAGCTGATACACTTTTCATGGTATGGCTGCTTGACCATCCATCAATTACAAAAAGAATAGTGGGTACAATTATATACTAATATCACGAATTAGGACTTGGAAAAGGCACTCAGAGTTTCATCCAGCGCCTTTTTATCATAATCTGAGGTGAATACACAGTTTCCAAGGGGACCTTTCAAAAGAATGAGCCTCAACACACCATCAGCTACCTTCTTATCGACCTGCCAGTTAGAATTACATGGACATAGATAAGTTATGATAGATATATAATTAGTAATCCTTCTGTCTGGAAGAAAAGGAGCTGGCAAATAGTCTAAATCTCCCATTATTAAGGATATGACATAATTCTAACTATATAATATATCCTTCACAATAGGTAAGCATAATTCTAACTATATAATATATCCTTCACAATAGGTAAAATAAATTTAAGTATGGACATATTATGAATTTCAATCATTAGATGAAAACTAATTTAGGAAAGGTGACTTATTTTCGAATGTCCAAAAGTACTACAATAGTATGTGTTATCTAAGCTTACCGACATAATGGACTTGAACATTTCGACAGTCATGCTTTCAGGAGGTGCAATAGGTAGCTTAGCCTTTTTTAGGATGTTATGAACACGCCCCACTAGTGATTCATCTATCCAACCAAGACGGTGTGACATGTCAACAGCCATGACCTGAACATAAGAATCCGAATCAGCATGAAGATGATGAAAACGTAAGAACCAGTAAATAGGTTTACAGAGACATACCATTCCAACTGCAACAGCTTCTCCATGAAGCCAGTGGCCATAGCCAAATCCTGTTTCTATTGCCTGCAAAAGGAATACACAACAGCCAAACTGATAAAACAACGAAAATTTACATGTACATCACAAACCAAAACTCTTTCCAGGGAGAAAACATGTGGTCCTGCATCATATGGTTACTGGATCTACAAATTTTAAATGGTTCAGTTAAGACGATAAATACTGAAACAACTCAATCAAACCTAAGTTGACTTGTAAAGTTGAAGTAAATATTGATTGATAGAAAAACTGAGTTAGCCTAAAACTATTAAGTACTTGCAAGTGTTTAAAATTTAAGTCCAGGTTTCAAACTTTAGAGCTCAGACTTGATATTTCAATTTCAAGATTCTCAACAGGGTTGTATCTTAGATATGCAATGCTAATTGCTTACATAATTATAAGTTGTTCAATTCAGCAACTGCTATTTGTAATGGATTTAAGGCACGATTTACAAGTGGAACATATAAGAAACTTCACAGATGCTTGACACTGCCTCAAAAGTTTTCTTCTCCAAGGTCTTAGCAACTTGGCTAGATCATTCAATAAGAAAGATTTTTTGAAAAAGATATCACAGGATTATAGAACTCACATGTCCAAAAGTGTGACCTAAGTTTAATGTTGCTCTCAGTCCACCTTCCTTCTCATCCAAAGATACAACCTCGGCCTTGTTTTCACAGGAGCGCTTTATAGCATATGCAAAGGCAATATGATCCCTGCAAATCAAGCCAATAGACATGACCTTTTAGTCAACCATGATGGATAAAAGCTCAAACTCTCAAAGCACATCAACATCCAAACAATGTCAAATGAGCCAGTACTCTTGTCACTTACTATCATAATTCTTTAAAAAAAAAACTTCAAAAAAATGTGGTAGGGTAATCTACCCAAGGTATCAACATCCAAACTATGTCAAACAATCCAAATAGTCACATAGCAAAGTATTTGGAATCCTGACGCGTTCTTAACCACAATAAGTTGTCTTTTTGTATTCTAATAACCAATATATATATCCTTCAGTAACTAGGAAAAAAATAAAAGACAAACCAAAGTTTGCCTAACCATGACCCTTAGAATACATCCATTCGGAAACCTTGGACACAAGGGGAATGGGCAAACTGCTAGCTATGTCGATGCTTCATAAGTTATACTTTTTAAGCAGACTAATGTCTCGTTTTTCACCATGAAACAATAAATTTTGCGAAAATCAAATTCATTTCAGGGATAGCAAGTCTATTTTTCGGAAAAGGGCTGATAAGTTTTAAAATGTTCAGATAAGATGATGTGAAAAGTATGAAGCATAAACAAGTAGCAAGGCAACCATTCTTCAGTCAACTCAATGATGCATCATTACTAATGAAAATTACAAGTTGTGTTTATTTTGTATTACTAATTACTTTTGGGTACATTCCCTCAAATAGGCTTCCTGAATGTTAACTAGAAGTGACCAGCAAAAGTGCACTATGTCTTTCTCTAGCCTACTCCAAAAACATCCAATAGAGTTATATAACCTGTACAACACATTTTTGATTTCAGGGTGGAAAAACAGACAAATTGCAGTGTTGGCTAAAGGCTTTAAATACCATATAATGCAGTTATTAAGTTAATGTGATCTCCTTCAAAAAAGCCATAATTAACAGTTCCATTTGTTAGGAGGTAAAATAAACTAGTAGGGTAGGGGTGCTGGTGAAAATAATTAGGATGATTGATTCAAATACCTTGCCATCAATGCATCCATGTTCTTCTCTTGCCATTCAAAGAACTCAGCATCCCTAATAAGACCATATTTTATTACCTCAGCGAGCCCAGATGCCAATTCTCTGTCAGGCAGTGTGTCTAATGTGTCAGTGTCAACAAGTACACATTGAGGTTGGTAAAAAGCCCCAATCAAGTTTTTTCCCAGCGGATGGTTTATGCCAGTCTTTCCACCCACTGAAGAATCCACCTGAACATGAATGTCATCAGCACACACACATACACATAGCATTAGATAGTAATGTAAAACAATTTAAATAGGTCAGGATCAAACCTGGGCCATAACAGTAGTTGGAATTTGAATGAAGTTAACTCCACGCAGGAAAGAAGCTGCAGCAAATCCACACATATCGCCAATCACACCACCTCCAAGAGCCACAAATGTGGACCGTCTGTCCAACCTTGACTCAATAGCTTTGTCAAAGACTTTCATAAGAGTATCCTATCGTACCAAAAAGAATCATGTATTAAAAGACCAAGTCAATCACTATCAAGCAAACGTCTTTTTGAAGTCGAAGACACATACCATGTCCTTGTACTGCTCTCCATCCGGTAAAATCACAGTTTCTACTGATACGTTCGGGTTATCTTTAGTCAAAGCATTGATAACTTTATCCAAATACAAGGGTGCAACAGTGGTGTTCGTAACCACAAGAACCCTCTTTCCGTGCACATGCCTAACCAAATAATAACACATTGATCAGTTGAAACAAATTCAAAGCATTCAATCAAAGCACTAATTTAGTAATTTACTAAAAAATTTGATAGCTATACTGAAGGCCGTGAAAGGGTATAAGTTTTGGTTTTTCCAATCTCTAAGCTCAATGATTGAACATATTTCAAGTTTTGGGGCATTAATTTGACTATTCCCCCTAATCTCCTTCGTGAGTTAATTCCCAAATATTGTGAGAGGTGCTAAACATCCATCAACGTGATAATAATTTTGGATTTGTTTCTCATATTTGTCAAATAGAGATAGAGATCTTTGGTTGCACATTCTCTATGTATATTTCTTAACTCTAATTGGCCCCAAAATGATGTTATTTTTCTTAGAATATTTTTTCCGTTAATTTCTCGATTTATTTACATTCTCCATAATGCTCTATACACGAGAAGAATATGAATCACAAACAAGTCATCAAAGTTGAAGCTCATCACTCTATAGGCCCCAAAGGCCCAAAATGAATATGATTCTACAAACAATGTAATCCTAATGCCAGTAAACAAATGTGTGCATATGTCTTTCTCACCCTCCCTCTGTTCTAAATCGCGGTATCATCGAAATCCAATCCTTACCATTATCATTTTCAAAATATGGGGAAATTTTTCCAGCATCTAACAAACAATATATACGAGTAGCCCATAACAACAGCAACATATAACCCATAAATATAAACATTATTCAATAAATTTGCGTAAGTAAAATCAGTCTTTAAAAATCTTAATTTCGCAAATTTTCTTCAAATTAGAACTCCAATTAATAAAATGGGATAAAATACCATAGAACATTAAGAACATTATTCAACAAATTCAGTCTTTTCGCCAATTTCCTTCAAATTAGAATTCCAAATTATAAAATGCGATAAAATTACCTTTGAAGAAGTTCGGGTTGATCAAGAAGACCAGGTCCAATATAAATAGGATAACTTCGATCACCCAAATTAACATCGACAATGTTAGGAACCCTAGAAGAGCTCGTCATCTTACTAAACCCACTACTACTGGGTGACTCAGCAGGGGTTAACTGAGTCGAACTCGCATGAATCGCCGATCTAACCCGACCAACACTTACTGCAATTCGATTCGAGCCCAAATGATCCGAATTCAATTTGACGGAAGACCCACCAACAACTCCAACAAAGAGGTTGGTTGACTTTGAAATCGAGGCTTTTGATGAGGTGGGGTTGAGGGAGAAGCAGAGAGAAGAGGGGTGAGCTGAGGCCGCCATGAAAGTGGGAGGTTGGGAAAGGGGGAGAAAATGGAGGGAGAATGAAGAAAGTTTCTCTCTCCTAATGGTGGGAGGAAGAAGATGTAGTAGTTGAAGAGAAGGGGTTGGTGGAAAGAGCCCGCATTTTTTTTTGGATTTGTGGTGGCTTTGTGGGAATGAGACGTTTGGTAGGTAGAGTTGTTTTTTTTATGGGATAATCTCAATGGTGATCCCAACTTTTGCTACGTATCAATAGTAGTGACCTCTTTTTTTCAATTATACAAAATGATCTTGGTTACAATTTTCATCTCACTTATAAACTTATTTCATTAAATATATTACTTATAGTTAGATTTATATTAAAAAAAAAAAAAAAAAAAAAATTAACCTATCCACCTTCCTCCTTCCTTTCTCTTTCCTCCATCCTTGCTCCTCCTCCATAATTTCTGGCAGCCCCTCCCCTCCACCACCATAATCCGGCAACCCCTCCTCTTCCCTCCTTCCTTTCTCTTTCCTTCCTCCTTTCTCCTTCCTCCTTCCTCCCTTTCCTTTCCCTTTCCTCTTCTTCTTCCCTTCACCCTCCATTAATTCCGACCGACCACCTTTGCCAACCTCCTACCCCTCCCTTTCCCAGCATCCCCCTCAACAACCATTTTCCGCCACCCTTCTCTTCCTTGAACACCCCCACCCACCCTCTTGAAACCTCGTCGGACCCCATCCACCCCCTCGAAATACCGTCGGAAACACACCCACCCCCTTAAACCACCATCCTCGACACCCTAAAACCCCAAAATTGAATTCTCTAAAATCGAAACCCTAGGTTTCGATTTTAGGGTTTTTTAATTTGGGGTTTTGGCGTGGTGGTTCTGGGGGTGGAGGTGGCAGAGGGAGGGGCAGGGGGAGATGGCGTGGGGTTCATCGGCGCGAGGAAGGGTGATTGGACGCCGGCGGTGGGGAGGGGTGCGTTTTTCGAGGGAGAAAGGAGTTCATTGGGGTGGGGGTGGCTGGTGGTTTAGGGAAAGCTTTGGGGTGCCGGCAGTTGGGTGTCGAGGTCAAGGTGGCGCCGACGCGGGAGTTTTGGCAGATTCGGCGTCGGCCGCGGGATTGGCGGGGATAGGGTGGTGGCGATGGCTACGACTGGGTTATGGTGGGTGGGTTTTTTGGTGGGGGTGGCTGTTTTTGGTGGTTGGGTTAATTGTTTTAGTTTTTTTTTAAAATATAAATCTAACTATAGTTAATATTTAATGAAATAAGGTTATGAGTGAGATGAAAATTTTAACTAAGGTCATTTTGTATAATTGAAAAAAAGGGAGGTTACCGTTAGTGCATAGCATAAGTTGGGGGTCGCCATTGAGAATATCCCTTTTTTATTTATTTTTACCTTATTCACTAATTTCAATTTTCTAATAAATTCATATAAGTTCAAATAAAATAAGATTATTGCATACAATGTAAGGCGTATATAATTTTTCTCAAAAAAAAAATGTAAGGCGTAATAAGTTTAGATAGTATAAGGGGTGATAAGTTCGAATAAGATAAGTGTTAATAAGTTATATTCTTCTTATGTTATCTATTATTCTGATACGTGTCGTTTACCGTATAAAATTAATTAATTCTTTACCTAACTTAACCTTCAAAAATATTAATAACTAGTAAAAGGGTAAGTAAGGGTCGATCCCACGAGGAGATTAATAAACTCTTAAAATCTTAAAGTTTAACTCGAAAAATAAACTATTTACATTATAGAGTATTATTCATCACTATGTACATGAGATTGGGGGGTTTAAAGGATCATAAACCATAAAGAAGAGAACTAAACTAAAATAAGTCTAATATTTACAAGTGACAAACAAGTAACATAGCTGAGGTTTGATCAATGATAAATTAGACACAAACTAACCTCTTACTTTCATTCCTTTAGTCTCATTCAATATTCTGTTTAGCATTTAGGTTGCCGGATTCTCGCAGCGGATTATCCACTATTTTGCTCACTAGAACTACTAGAATCTTGCTAAAATATTACCAACCCAATAAATAACTTTTATCGATCAATTCATATACTTAAAACAATTATCATGAGCCGCCCATACTAATTAAATTAAGTCGTATACTCTAAATTACCATCAAACGCCGCGTCTAACAATAACTAGCTAGTTTAATTACTTTATAAATGTAATCGTATACTATCACACATACAAAGATTAAACCTTCAAATTGAACAAACGATCATATGAATTGAATAAATACCAAACTCAATATTAAAGTACCAATAAACTCAGCGTTTAATAGTGAGACCAAAATCATGAAAAATCAAAGGCAAAATTTCATCCAATTAACAAGTATAATAGAATAAGCTTAATCTAACAAACTAGATAATCAAAGATTAAAGTAGGGAGAAACTCATGAATTAGGATTACACCAAGGTAGCCGCTACACTTGATCCTCCGCCGATTTCGCACACTCGCCTCCAAAAATCCTCGACACCGTAGTTCTTCGATCACACTTGTACTATAAACTCGATCTCACCACCCTCAATATTGTGGTTCTGTTTCTCTTCCCCTTGAGATGATTTTTTTTGGTGTTTTTATAGCCAAAAACAGCCACCAATTTTTGGGTACGGGAGGATAGACTTTTAAAATAGGATAAGAATTCATCACTTCCTTCAATTTCGGATGTGTTGAAGAAGGATTATAAGCTTGATGAAGATAAACATGGAGTTGAGATATGTTGCTGCTACTTCGGTTTTAACGAAATTGGTTGTTGCTGTAGCTTGCTACTTTCTTCAATAAGTCACGTGCCCTTTTTGTTACTTTTTCTTTTCTCTTCTGCTTTGTTGTTGGGTTTGTTGTTCTCCACGTGGTGCTCGCAGTATTTTGCTTCCTTCTTCATATACTTTGATGATAGCATATGATTCTTTGAATAGCAACATAAATGGGCTTTTATTTTCCTCTTGCTTTCCTACCAAAAACACACAACATAAAATTAAGTATCAATTATTATAAAAATAACTACAACATAAAATATTGAATAAAATAAAATCTAAAACAATAAAAGTAAATAATATTATAAAATAACCAATATTAAGCGGCCATTGGACTAATATTAGGGACTAAAAATATAGTATATTATGCACTTATCATATTTTTTAGGTTATGCGCGGTTAATAAAAAAAATGTAATCAATAAGCACAATTCCATCGCTTTTGTCATTATCATTCATTGGAAAAATGCTAATGGGGATATACGCCACCACTACCATCGTCGTACCTCCTTTGTACCATTGCCCCTTTCCATGTTTCCACGCCACTTTCCCTCCACCCCTTCTCTCCCTTTCTTCTCTAATGGTTTTACCACAACCATGGTTATATTTAGAGTTTAAAAGATCAAATTTGATCATTAAAACTTTAGATGTAGAATATAAATGCTCAAATTTGACCATTTGAAGCCATAATTCATGGTATAAAATGGTATTCCCTCTGTCTCTTTATTTTTGTCTTATTTTGCCATAGATGAATGTCTGCCTTATGTCTATTTTTTGCAATGGCTTCCACTAATTAATAATGATTTTGCTTGTGTTAATTTCTTTAACCCACTAACTTTACTCCATAATTCTGACAAAATAAACAATGAAAATACAGATCTAGGAAGAAGGTGATAGGTTTGTTGGGTATGTAGTAGAGTAGTGGAGGAAGGGAAAAAATGGTGATATTGGTGGTGTGGAGGAAGGGAGTGGTTGGTGTGAAGGAGGAATAAAAGCGATGTCAATGCCATTTGTTAAGGGTGGTGGAGGAAGGAAGGTGGTGATGACGACCTGATGCTTGTTTGGGATTTTAGATTAGTGGTTGGGAGAGATAGGGGTTATGAGTGGATTGGATGAGGGAGAAGAATAATAGGGTTCAATGTGTTGTTGATTGGAGTATTAAAAGACAATTACCCTAACTTCTTGCTTTTCCTTTCGACCCAGCTTAATAATATAAATTTTTGACATAGGGAAAAAATAAGGGAATTTTGTCAGAAAAAACCATTTATAACAACTTTTTCGTTGGGAAAAATCTTATAAAAATTTTTTGGCACGGAGAAACCAGATTGTAAAATATTTTTGTTGAAGACAACCAAGGGTGACAATCCGGCATTGACAGGGTCTTTTTCGGCGTTGACCCTGCATGTGCAGATCACGTGACCTCTTTTATTTTATTAATTCCACCCAATTTCTTCTAATTCCCCCTTAATTTCCCTCTAACTCCCTCGTTTTAATTTCCCCCCTTTTTCTTCTAATTTCCTTCCTTCTTCTCTCTCCTCTCTCATCTAACGAGGTAGTAATTAATCCTCTTCTCTGCTACGTTTTGCCATGGCGTCACCCCTCAAGCTGGAAATCAATCAATGAAGTTAATTTCAACCCACCCTAAACAGTAAGTTTATTTGTATTTAATTGATGCGGGTTTCCTTTTCTAGGTATATTTTTTCTGAATTTTTTTTAATTTGCTCTACAATGGCGAAGAACAAAGCAAGAAAGGAGGCAAGTGTTTGTGTTGCGTCTTGTTCGAAGAAGCTAAAAGGGACCAATTACAAAGTTATAGATAAACCCAGGTACGTTTTCTCACCTCCTTGGAGTTGTGCAAAGCTGATTAAACAATTGTTAGTGTTAAGGTTATATAATTAATTAATTCTCTTTGATTAAAGTAAAGTAATTGAAAATTATCTATTGGGAACATGAAACTTAGACTGCATGTTTGTTTTGTGTGGTGTGTTAGATATAATAGGAACTTCCTTTTGTGTATATGCTTTGTTGTTGGATCTTAAATTAGTATTGGTTTTTGTAAAAAAATTGGATCAGGTTTAACGTTAGAGATAGCATTTTTTACCCTTGGTATAAATTAATGGAGGCCATTAGTATTAGGTTGTACTATGGTGGGGAATTTGTTACAAAGAACAGGAAAACTTCTTATGAAAAGGGGAAAAGGGATTATTATGGGGTTTCACTTCATCCTAATGTAGATGAGGTGTGTTATTTTGAGTTTTCTCACTAGATAAAGAGTAAGTTAGGATATAAGGAAGTGGGTAAAATTTGGTTTAGGAAGCATGGGTGTTGTTTGTTCAGTGGTAGGAAACAGATAAAGAGTGATGTGGAGATTCCTGAGTTTCTGCAATCACCAGAAAAGGATGGGTGGTACCACCTATACTTGGTCCAAACTAAAAAAGAGACTTTTGACACATCAGCTTATGGACCAGGGGTGGGGGTGTATATAGATTCTGAAATTGATCTTAGGGTATCTAGTGACTTGGCTGAGAGTAGGGTCAAGGGTGGTGAGTCAGCTAGCACTTCAAACACTACTAGAAATAGGCCGTTTTACGACGGAATCATTCCGACGGACCTAAATTCCGTCGGAAAATTCGAACTTTCCGACGGAATTTTGGTCTGTTAGAAATATCCGTTGGAAAAGATAAGTCCCTCGGAAATATTCCGACGGATTTTTTTTCCCTCGGAATTTACTTCTTCCGACGGAATATTCCCTCGGTAAATATCTACCGACGGAAAATTCCGTAGGTAGCTGAAAATTCAGAGGGAAAATAAATCCCTCGGAACATAATTATTTCCTACGGATTAATTCCGTCGGTAGATTGCGACGGATTGTACCCCTTTCCGACGGATTTTTAATTTATAAAAAAAAAACAAAAAAGAAACAAAAAAGGCGGATCTTTCTTTGTCCTCCACTCCCTCCTGACCTCCTCCTTTTCTTTTTCTCTTTCTCCTCTCCTTTTCCCCTTTCTCTCTCTTCTCCTACCTCCTCCCCCTTCGTATCTCTCTCTCTCCTCCCTTCTTCCCCTTCGTTTCTCTCTCCTCCTCCCTCCTTCCCCTTCGTTTCTTTGTCCTCCATCGCAACCACCACTGCCCAACGAAGCCGCCACCACCGCCGGTGCGCAACAACATACCACCACCCGGTTTTTCATGTTAAATTCGACCATGAAAACCCTAGATCTAGAGTTTTCATGGTCGAATTTGACCTTTAAAACCCAAATTCAAGCTAATTTAGGGGTTTTGAAGGAATTCAAGGTAAGTGGTCGAATTATTATTTCGTTTAATTTTCGTTTTTTGTGATTTTCGATGTTTAATTTTTGTATATCTAATTTTAGATGTTTATTTTTCGTTTGATTTTCGGTTTTTTTGTTTTTCGATGTTTAATTTTCTTTTTTTTTCTTTTTTGATGTTTAATTTTTTTTGCGATTTTTTGGGGTTAATTGTGTATGTTGTTTGCGTGGTGGTGTGGTGTGGTGTGGTGGGGTGGTGTGGTGGTGTCGGTGGTGATGGGGGCTGGTGTATTGTGGTGGTGTTTGGTGTGGGTGGGATTGTGGTGGTGTTTGGTGTGGGTGGGATTGTGGTGGTAGTTTCGGTGGGGTTTGGTGTGGGTCGTGGTGTTGTGGCGTCGTTGGTGGGTTAGGGGTGGCTGTGGGGCGGATTGGGGTGTTGAGCAGGGGAGGGGGGAGGTGGTGGATCTGGGTGGGTGGTCTGAATTTTTTATTTTATTTTTTTTTTACCCAGATTTCCGACGGAAATTCCGTCGGAAGAGAAGGTCCTTCCTACGGAATATTCCGTCGAAAGCCATGGTTCTTCCTACGGAATTACGTCCGTCGGAATCTTGCGACGGACTTCCATTCCAGGTCAAACGTAGGCTCCGACAATTTAAAATCCGTCAGAAATTCCGTCGGTAGGGCCTTTTTCGACGGAAAATCCCTCGGTATAAGCCAAAATTCCGACAAAGTGATCTCCGACAACGTGTTCCGACGGAATTTCGTCTGAAATGGCTGTTTCCGACGGAATTAGACGTTGTACCGACGAATTTTTTCCGTCATAAATAAGGTGTTTTCTTGTAGTGAAATATGGCCCACACAAACCCTAGATCTGAAGAAAAAAGCATTATACTTATCTCAAGTGATACATCAAACACAACCTCCCTAACCAATTTCCCACCTAACTTACATAACATTCAAACCTCGGACACATCTTCACTCCCAAAACAATCACCTTTCATAGCCAACACCTGCTCTATAATTGATGGTAGAAGGCAGAAGCTGCCAATTGTTCCAGCCTAGAAAAAAAACCTTGGAATAGAAGGAGGTTGAGTGAAAAACACAAAGGAGTGATGAGCATGTTCATGAGATTGCAGAAGCTGTTGAGAAACCTCTAGGGGAGGATGAGTTACTGAGTGATGAAGATAGATCTGATAGTGAGGGCACTCCATATTTAGCTGATGAGGATTGTGATGATAGAGATGATGATGATTTGTTCCAGCAATACATAGATGGTGATATATCAGAGAGAGTGACCAAGAGTTTAGGTGGTATAAATTAATACCATGTTGATGAGGTAGATGAAGAGGATGATAATGAAAATGGTATTGAGTTGCATGATGATGTTGTGCTAAATGTCAGTGATGATGAAGTGGTTAGCTTAGTTGGATCAGATGATGAGGGTCCTAATTATCCAGTTTTTAATCCGCAGACTGATTTTAGGGGAAGGATTGAACTGAGTAAAGGCTTAAAGTTCCCTTCTAACATAGTTTTCAGGAAGGCTCTTAGACACCATGCTATCAAAAATGGTTATGACTATTATTATTTGCATAATAATAGGACCAAGGTCACTGTTTTTTTTTTTTTGCAAAGAGATGTAGTTGTCCTTGGAAGAGGGATCGGGTTTTAGAGTGTAAGTGTAAAGACAGGAGGAAGTGCAGATTCAAGGTGTATTGTAAGTTGAAAGATGAAGAGACATGGCAGATTAAGAGTATAAGATTGAGGCACATATGCAGCCATCATATTCATAACACTAAGCTTTCCTCACAGTATTTGGCTGAAAGATATCTTAAGGACTGGAGGGATAATCCTTCTATGAAGCTTCAAGCTTTTATGAAAAGAGCAAGAAGAGAGATTGGAGTTGAGATAGGGTACTACATGGCATACTACGCTAAAGCTAAGGCCTTTAAAATGATTTTTGGAGATGCCAACTTGGAGTATAGTAGGGTCTGGGATTATGCTGCAACAATCATGAGATACAACCCAGGTTCTACTGCAAAGGTGAAGTTTACAGGGATAGAGAATCCACCACCTTTATTTCAAAGGTTGTACATCTTCTTACAGGCTTGTAAGGAGGGGTTCATGGCTGGGTGCAGGTCAATCCTTGGGGTAGATGGGGCTCACCTTAGAGGTCCATACCCTGGCATCTTGTTGATAGCAATAGGTAAAGATGGAAATAAGAACATCTTTCCTGTTGCTTGGGCAGTAGTAGAGACTGAAAACTCAGAGAATTGCAACTAGTTCTTGACCTTGTTGAAAGAAGATCTTGGGTCAGTTACTGATGTTGTTACCTGGGTATATGAGAAAGAAGATCTCACATATATGTCAGACAGGCAAAAAGTATGAGACTATCTCTTCTTTTTTTAGAAAAATTTTAAGGATCTGATTGATTATGTATTCTAACTTGCTGTACATTTCATGGTCTGATTGATGCTTTCAAGACAACAATGCCCAATGCGGACACAAGATACTGCTGTAGGCACATTTGGACAAACTTTAAGGCCAAATTTCCAGGTGTGATCTACAAGGAACATTTCTGGAAGGCAACTAGATCTTCAACTTCGGTAAAAAGCTTCAACTTATACATATGCTCTGTGTTTGCTGATTGTTGGGGGTGGTTTACCTTATTAACTTGATTAATAACTCCAATGCAACATCATTTCAATACACATATGGCAGCAATCAAGGAAATTAATGAGGATGCATTCAAGTACTTAAGTGAGATCCCAGCTATACACTAGTCCAGGCATGCTTTTACTTCTACAAGTAAATCGGGCATGCTCCTTAATAATGGTTGTGAGAGTTTTAACAATGTATTAAGAGAGGCTAGGTCAAAACCTATTCTTCAACTAATGGAATGAATTAGGAGGTATGTTATGCAAAGGTGTTTGGCTAAAAGGGAGGGGTTAAAACATTTTAAGGGTGTCATAATGCCTAGTGTTGCATGTGAAAATGGTGCATAGGGGTTGGAAAGAAGCTAGTGCTATGAGAATTAATCAAGCTGACTGATGTATTCATTTTATATATTAATTTATCCCCGTCCCGTGATCATAGTTAAGAGTATTTTTGGCTATTTAGAGCCAATTTTATTACTAATATGTGTTTTCTAGTGTTTTCGTAGTTGTGGTATTATTCTACAGGAAACTGCAGATTTGGAACATTTCCCGGCATTTAGTGGAGCCACCGCGAGCATTGGAGACGAGACGCATTTCTATGATCGTATTCCGAAGCCCAGGACAGTAATTGATGATTCAATCCGGTGATTAAGGGCTCAATGAGGAAATTTGGAGCTTGGGCAATTCGATCCAAGAAGGATGACGAATTGGGCTAAGGTAACAAGGCCCAAAGGACGAAGAAGAGTAAGCCCAAGCATCCGCCCGACCGGGCAGTGCCCTCGCCCTGAGGCGCGCCCGACCGGGCGAGAGGAGAAGACCATAGGGCGAAGGTTAGCCCGGATGCGCGCCCGACCGGGCGCGAGCAACGCACATCATAGGAAAAAGGCGCGCCCGGCCGGGCGATGCCTCGCCCGACCGGGCGCTTGTTTACGTTAGGATTTTTATTTTGTTTTAACTTTTTCTTTATTTAGCTTTAAGAGTTTAGTATAAAGACGCTTTTGTGAAGTGAGTTGGGGGGCGTCTTTGACACGGACGACCTTTCTTTCTCTCTCTTTTCTCCCTCCCTCTTACTTTCTCTCTCTACACTTTATCTCTCTACACACTCTTGATTTGTACAATTCATTATTTCCTTTAATTTTGGTAACGATTTCTTCCCTCTTTATTTTCAATAATTTAATTGCTTTGACTTAATTATGCTTTCTTTAATTGCTTTGCTTAGTTTAATATTAAATATGTGTGAGTAGTTTAATTCTAGGGTTGTGGGGATCCATGAATAATCCGAAGGGGTAAATTATTATTGTTTATTATTAATGATTGATTAATTTCCTATTGATTGATTTAATGCTATGCAATTAGATTAGCGTAGGTTTAATTGTATGAGTTTTGCAATATTGATTCGAGATTCGAGAGATGAGAATTGATGTTTAGGCTTAGTTTTAATAGGCATGTTAATATGTTAATGGTTAGGTCGAGATTCGAGAGATGAGATTTAATACCAGTAGATTAATTATGTAATTATAATACGTAGCGACAACCCTTTATAATCTGGTTAATTTATGCATTGATAATTGATTGTATGTTTTACCCTGGAGTATTATTTATTGGTGAACCTATACCCTAGAGCTTTTATTATTGATTATTCCTTTGTTTAATTTGCTTAGCTTAATTATTAGTTTAATTCCTTCAATTACAATTTGGTTACTTAATAATTCAGATTATAATTATTGATTAGGAATAAAAGAACACTGTTTCCCTGTGGATTCGACCTTACTTTCCTATCTGCTTTAGTTAGAAGACTTAGGAATTACTTTTGATTAGGTGATACGACTTAAGCATGTCACTGACCTAAATGAATTTGAGGTTGATCATGAAGATGACACGTTTGTGGTCAATTTAGAGAACAACACACGTGGCTGTTACAGGTGGACTCTTATGGGTATATCTTGTTGGCATGCACTAGCATGCATCCAACTTAGAAGGTTGAACTATGAAGACTACATCCACCCTGCATACCATGTACAAACATATGCCAAAACCCATGCCCCTGCCTTTCGAGCCATGTCAGGACAGTCCCAATGGGAAGTGACACCTTACCCAAAACCATTGCCCCCTCCACATGGAGTTATGCCTGGTAGGCCTAGCAAGAAGAAGAGAGTAAAGGAACCTGGGGAAGATCAAGAAAGGGAAAATGTGAAAAGGACAAAGAAGCAGAATAAGTGTGGCAGATGTGGTGGTCTTGGTCATTACAAGACCAAATGCTTCAACCCAATAATGCAAAAAGTGCCTAAGAGAAAGGGAAAAAATGCTGATGTTTTTCCTGAGGTCTCAGATTCTCAGGCTGCACCAACTGAGGCTACAACCTCTCTTGATCCACATGTTGTTGCTGCTGTCACAGTTCCTCAAGCCAGAGCTCCAAATGTTTCTGCAGAGAAAGGGGAAGAGTATTGCTACTACTGCTCCTACAACAAAGGAGAAGGGTCATGTTCCTGCTTCCACTACTCAGAGAAAGGGGAAGACTGTTGCTATTGCTGCTCCTACAAGAAAGGAGAAGGGTCATGTTCCTGCTGCTGCACCAAGACAAAAAAAGACAGTTGCAACCAAGATTGGATGCAGGAAGAAGAAAGGACTGGTCAAGCAATCTCAACCTGGTCAAGCATCACAGACTTCAGCCTCTGCAACTAGACAACCACCACTAACACAGTCCCAAGAACAACCTACTTAGAGTAGTTATCCATGAATTGTATTATCATTGCTCTGTATTTTGCTAGATGAACTAATTTAAGTTTGGCTTCATTTGTGAACTATGTACTTTTGTGAACTAAGTCCTTGTCTGTAAGGCATTGCATATATTTAGCACCATTAAAGTAGTGCTTATTTTGTTGTTATAAAGTTGTGTTTTGCTTATAGCATCATATCATATTTAACATACCAATTAAAACACATAGTTTACTGAGATAAAATGCAACTTTCATTTCATTTTTTGATAATTCTGAGTAAGTACATTCCAAAGTATATATAATAACTTAACAAAATACCTAACTAACTTACTCAAATACTAACCAATTCTAGCCAAAGAGTTTCACATATATGAAACTCACAACAACGGATACAATAACACACACACAAATTATATACCCATACTTAACCCCATCTCCCTTTTTCAATCCAGCTACAGTGTTCCTTCTCTAAAGTTTGTTGTTCAACTTCTCAACTTCTTTAGCTAGTTTTTCCTTCTCATGCTCAATACATGCCAGCCTTGTTCTCATAATGCTAAGATCAGTACCAAGCTCGTGCTTCTCTGCTACCAGGAAATTAGTTACATCTCTCTGCCAATCAACAATACCTTCATCAACCCACTCAAATTTATCGTAACCCCTTTGCCCAGTTTCACGGTTGTAAAACTTGCATGCAATGAATTTCCTACCAAGATTGTCGTGGGTCCAAGATGTCCTCTTTGCAACAGGAAAACCACAATCACATCTGATATCCTTCAATGGAGCCATGAATGCTGCATAATTGAGATAAATAAGAGCAATTAGCGCAAATTAAAAAAGGGGCAAAAAACCCTAATTTTTCACATACCTACAAATATGATGAACTGGGAAACAATTAAACAACTCTGTTAGTGTATCCTTGGTCGAATTTATTTGTCGAATACTATTTATGCAATTAATTCAAAAAACCATGCCCTTTCAAGATCTTCAGTTCAATTAGAAAGGAGAGAGAACAAAATGGGGAGAGAAAAAAGGAGAGAGAAGAAGAAGGGAAATTAAAACGAGGGAGTTAGAGGGAAATTAGGGGGGAATTAAAGGAAATTGGGTGGGATTAGTAAAAAAGAGGTCACGTGACCTGCACATGTAGAGTCAACGCCGGAAAAGACCCAATCAATGCCAGATTGTCACCCTTGGTTGTCTTCAACAAAAATATTTTACAATCTGGTTTCTCCGTGCCAAAATTTTTTTATAAGATTTTTCCTAACAAAAAAGTTAGTATAAATGGTTTTTTCTGACAAAATTTCCAAAAAATAAAGGGGCAGAGGAAGTAGTTTTTTTCTCTCATGTCAATGGTACAATCTATGAGCATATAGTTGTATTGCACACTTAAAGCTTTTTTCTTTTAGGCCTAAAATGGCCTATTTATATGCACCAAATGATGCTATTTAAGCAAAGTCAATTCAATCACACAGTGACAATAAATATTGTATCCCATAAGTATATACTTCGTATACTTTAACTCTTTCAAATCAAATCCTCTACCATTCCAAACTGACTTCCTTCTTTCTTTCTTTTTTTTTTTCTTTCTTTCTTTTTTTTTTCTTCTTCTTATTTTTTACTTTTTCTTTTTAAGGAATTATACTAGTGTTTTCATTTTCTTTACAACAATATCATTAACAAATGACAATAGTAATTACTTGCCTAATTGTAATTTGGGGAAGATTATATCAATTCTCAACTTTCCCAACATACAACAAACAAGAAAGATCCAATAAGCTTTTCTTAATTGGTTTTCCCGGCTTCGAAGTCAATGGTGTTATACAAATGGTGGTCATCACATGTGTTATGCTATGGTGGTCATCAATGGTGTTATGCTATGGTTCGTGAGGTTTCCCTTTCTTGTTTGTATGTT